ATTTGTTGTTCAGTTCTTACTAATTGTTGTACTAATATACAGTAACAAAATAAAAAATTAACAATAATATCGGAATGATAAATGTCGGTAAATTTCATGATTGCAAAAGTAATTTGAAAAGTATTATTACTAGAAAAAATGCGTAATTATGATAAATGAACATAGAATCTTGCATGCTTTGTGCATTGCATACTTTTGCACCTTCACAAATATGGAGAAATTATCACACTAAATTGTTTAAATAACAATTTTTAAACTTTTTTTCTGCTATATTAGTAAGCGAATTAAATGCATATTATTATTGCTAATGAGTGCGCGGCATCAACGCTTTAATTATTTGTTCACTTTTTGCTCATAATATTTTGCAGAAACAACCATTCCATATCTTCTAACTTGGTATCATTCGGACAATTTAAATCAAGCACCAACCATCCTAAGTCATGATAAAATATTGTACCTGAATGAAGTTGATTTCAATACACAGGGCATTTATTGGGTGCATTTCGAGAGTACATCCGGTGAAAGTATTCGCAGTAAACCGATTTATCTTCTTGTCCATAACACAATCACCGGTCATGTCCTTTTTTATTTCTTTTCTTTACATCTAACTGATATTTTGCAGCATCATTCATTCGGAAGGAAAACTTGATGGTATTACTTGTAGTAGCAGTATCACAAGCACCACATGAAGTTAGGATAACCGAGCTGTGAAGCATCGTGTGATTATCATTTCTAGTCTGTTTTTGTTTAGAATGATGTGATGTGGTCCCAAGTGGATGATATCTTTTTCACCGTTGTCATTCTTGTTGTCATCGTCGTTGTCTCGTCCGTGCTGTTACTAACCGCACATTTTGAAATACTGCTAAAATAATGGGATATGACAAAGCTTCTCCTTTTGGGTTCATGAAAGAAGTGAAATTGGAATGGATGTTCTGAGAGGAGTGCTAGATTCAGGCGGTGATAACAATGGTGTCAACTTCGAATGGTCTTTGCTTCGTGGTGGCAATATCATCCGGCAATACTCGGAAGACAGTACATTGGTAATTAAAAAGGCTGATCCATCGAACGATTACGGAGTGTATCGATGTGAAGTGGAAGACGATGATGGAGAGCTGATCGGACAAGCATATACGGCTGTCACCATTGGATTTACCGATCCTTCCAGTCTGTTGAGAAACTATTTACTATTGTTATAGATGGCGAATTAATTAGAAAATGACATTATTGGAATTGGTGCTGTATCATCAGTTATCCAGTATAGCATGCCACATCAGCTGACAGATTCTCCTATTGTCAATCGACAAAGAACTCATCCACTTGTCATGCTATCAGTAGTCCTCAAACATTTGGCAATGAATTCATTACTGTAGTTGCCAGAATCATCTAACTCATTTTTTAGTGAAATTAAACTGAATTAATTAATTTTGTAAGCGAGACAGTTTTTGAAATTTTTACACTGCTAAGAATTTTTATGAGGGAAAAATTAAATGCATAATCTGGATGTTTTGCTAATTGATGTAGTGATTAGGAGTAGAAGTGATGATCAATGAAATCGTCTTAGGACATTATCTGGAAATGTCGAAGAATATTCTTCGAATCTTTTTTATAGAATCTTTATTCTCAATTTCATCGTTAAAGAAATGATAACTGAGAAACTATCTGATCGGAAGTTGCTATGATCCACTTTTTTTTTTGAGCGTAGTACATAATTATCAATAATTTTAGATGCACGAATTGTTAAGTTTGACGAGAAATCAGCTGCAGCAATTGAATGTCCAGTTTATGCCATACCCGGCGCAAGTGTCACATGGGAAAAAGAAGATGGTGAACTACCAGCTGGTGCGGAAATGGTCGGTAATAAGTTGATGTAAGTTTTTTATTTCCTTTTTTACAACAGTTCATATTTTATTAAGTAGCATCAAAATTTTGATAAGTTACAAGTGAATATAAATAATTTCAGAGTTTTTTAAGTTTTATTTCATGAGATTTTTGATTCCATCTGTTCTATGATTTCCTACTTTAGGATCAACGAATTTGATGATGATGCTGTAGGAATGTACGTTTGTAAAGTTGATATATATGGCAAGCAGATTGAAGGCTATGTCAGAGCAGAAATATACGGTTGGTGCATTATTAATTTCAGATAAGTTAATTTCAAAAAATTTAAACAGTTGAGAAATGAACGATAATTAATTAATTTAAATTGTTTTTGTAATTCTTAAGTACCGGATACAATAATACAAGTATTGCTGGAGCCATCATCGGAAAGCATATCATTGGGTGATCGAGCATGGTTCGATTGCAAAGTAACAGGTGATCCGGATGCTGAAATAACTTGGACAAAAGAGGGTGAAGATGAACTACCTGACAATACGCAGGTTTCAATTAATTTTTTTTTGATATTAAAATAAACCCGTAAAAGCATCGTCTTTTGATCAATAAAAAGTTTTTGTTATGAATTTTTAAAATTGTTTTAATCTAATGAATTTCTTAATTCCGAGTAGGATTAACGTCGTAACTTTTCACATCCGTTCACGCTTCAATATTATATACTTTCCTTTTCTACTGTTGAACTTTTGACATCACAAATCTGTTACTTATGATTTAACCAGATATCTGACCTTATAGAGATGTCTTTAATTCGTACTAAGAGTGAATTAATATATGGTTTACTATGTGATAGGAATAGATCACGCAATAATGATATTTAAGTCCTATTATGTCTAGCAAAAAAGAGATAAGCAGCGAAATAAAATTGAATGAATCATAAAAATTAGAAATAAAATTTGATCAAAATAATTTTGTAAGAAATTTGTTTTCAAAAGAAAATGAAATATTTTTAGGTAATGGGGAATCGTTTGTTGTTTGTGAACGTTCGCGAAGATAACGGCGGCATCTATAAATGTCTTGCGAAAACGAAAGCTGGACCACTGGAAACGCGAAATGTGCTCAATGTTGGAACTGCAAAACGCAAGCGAAAGCGTATTTCACGTAAAAAAGAAAAACGAGCCCATAAAGAGGCTGGGAATAATGATAAGAAAATGAAGCGTAGTTCCATTTTTGGCACCTGGTTTACGTCTAGTTAAACAAAAAGCTGTTTACCATTCACACAAAGTTTAAAAAATTGACAAGTATCCGTAAATTTTGGAAATTTTTTTCAACTATGAATGTTTAACTTTTGGAAAATAAGAAAAAAAAACACTACTTAAATCATTCTGCTTTAAAACCATTCTACTACTATCACCACCGATACTTATCATTATTACAATTAAAATTATTATTGTTGCTATTACTACTGCTATTATTAGAGCTAATACACTAATAATACTGCTGTAATTGTGCTGCCTTTATTGCCCTGCCAAAAAAGGAAAAATGCAAAACAAATAAGTTCCTTATCCAATAAAATTTCACGAAAATCATTTTTGCAAATATTTTAGAATTTTTTTCTTTCATTAACTTTCTTATTTGGAGTAATCAACTTTCATTCAATTAAATTAAAATGATTTTTCTATTCCTTCACATCAGCTATGTAAATTTCAAATCAAAGCTTAAAAATCATTAGAAATTTTTTTCTTTCCCTCTCTCTCGGTCATAAGTTGAAAGACGTCATAAGTCATATTCTTTCGGTGATTGTGCCTTTCTTATTTTAGACTTTTCCTTTACAATTTTTTTTTGCATTAACCAAATCATTTCTTTATTACTTTTAAAGATTGTTCCGTTGCACTTTTTTGTCTATACGCCTAGCAAGTTAATCATTTAACAAAGTGAATATTTGAAATTATTCATTTATGATAATGAGTAGAATTATTTTTTAGCGCTTTGCTTTTTCCTATTTCTCATTGCATCTCTACACTGCCATTATTATCATTTCTTCTTTTTCTTATTCTCCAAATTTTACTCAACACCGCCATACTTCTTTGAATTTACTCTTTTTAGTTTGTTTAATTTTTGTTCTTTTATTTTATTTTTTCTTACTAATCATTCAAATAATAGCTGCTCGTTTACATTACATTGATTCTAAATTCAATCATGAATAAATAGCTTGTAAAATTTAAGGTTGTTATGAGTTGAATTAAAAACGAATGATTGAAATCAATATTTGTTAAACTATTTTATCTGTTTTAAATACAGTACTGCTGCCCCTTTTTTATTAACAGAAAATGGAAAAAAAATTAAAAGAGCTATCCTACTTTTTTATCATACTAATTACTTCTTTCTTTTTTTTTTGTTTCATATTTTTTAAAAATTTGCTGGATAAGGAATTTTTAGCTATTTGTATCAGTTAATGTGTCAATTTGAAATTATTTTAAGGAAAAGGTTATTATAATCACTTTTATTGTTGTCATTGTTTTGTAACGCATCAATGGGCAGCAAATTATTTGGATTAATTAAGGCTTTTACTATATGGAAATCTTTCACAAACATACCTGAACATACAACAACTGCCTTATTATTTACTTTAAATTTCAATTTAACTGGAATATTCCAGGAAATTTTTTTATAAACAATTATAAAATTTGCTTTCTCTTTTCCTTCAATCTTCCTCTCTTCATTTCTCATCTTTATACTCTCTGATAATATATAAGTTATCATTATTAATGCTATGCATATAAATTAATTGGAAATTGGATACAATCATTAGCATCGTCATTCATTCATTATCATTGCCGCACCGCATTATTATGTCTGTTATCAACTTTCTTCTTCTTGCCTTTTTTAATTTCCAGGAAATAAAAAAGAAAAACGGAAACTTGTTTGTTCTTTACTTCACCTTTTACAGTTTCTTTTCTCTTGGGCTAATTTTTCATTTCTTCTTTATTTGTGTAACTGGTAACTCTTTTTTCTTTTCTTTTTATTAAGTAAAAATATTAAATTAATAAAATTTATCGTTGCCGTCGATGTTGCTGTTATTGTTGTAATTGTTGTTGGTGGTGGTGGTGATGGTGATGGTGATGGTGACGGTGTCGTTGTTGTTGCTGTTCTTGTTGTCGCTGCTGCTACCATTACAACAGCAACTATATTACTACTACTACCACTATTGCTACAGCTCCTGTAATTGTTGTCGTCTACGAACACTCGTCGATATTGCAATATTATAAGCTTGGTGCATGACTCATATCAGGAAAGTGATATTTTTAAATCCAAACACAGCCACCCACACATAGTATAAAAACTGCGACACTAATTTCGGGATAGCGCTTTCGGGTCACTGATATTTACGTATTGCACAAATTTTATATAATTTGACATGTTGGATATTGCGCTTCAGAGAAGACCAATGCCTCTTTTCCGTAAATGAATTAAACTTAATTTTTTTCTAAAACGTTTTAGACCAACTGAAAAATTCTCAATTATTCTCTTAAATGCTAAATAAGATGCAAATTTAGATGAGATACCAAGCAAAAGCATTCAGCGAATTAAAGAGAGTGTTCCGGTTATCATTGGAGCAGTTGGCGAAGAGGTATGTGTGATGATTACAGCTTATCTATCAACTATCAATGATTTTACTGTCATAAAATCATATTTACATTGATAAAAAAGCTGAGATATTAGAAGATTGACTTACAAATTTTGATGCATTTTGCTTTCCATAAATTTGTTTAAATTTCTAATAATAATTAAGTGATATGATGATGATATAGTAATGTAATTATGATTTCGAAGAATTATGTCAGCTTAAAAATTAGTAACCAACAATTGTGAATTGTTCTCTTTTAAATTAAATTTGATTAAAATTCACCAACAAACATTAGCAGGCTTTTAAATGGTTCAGTTTGCTTGAAAATATTTTGGAATTTTGAATACGGTTTCCCTAAGTATCCCCTGCCGTAGGACTGAAATAACTTGACTGATCCATAATATGTTGTCGAGTAATTTGAATGAAAGGACTAAGCATGATCACTTCCGCATGATCACTTCCGATTTGGAGCCCATTTTTATTAAAACTACCGGAACGAAAATGTAAAATACATGATATCGTTTTTATCAGTTTATCGATTTTCGCCTTAGATTAATAATACTTGTATCAAAGGCGACAAAAAAACGATTTGTAGATTGAATTGCGATGTCCTGCTACTGGTGTACCTGACGTATACAGTGAAGTGAAGTGGGAAAAAGTTAACGGGGAATTACCGTATGCCTATTCAATCCGCCAAGGTATTCTGTATTTGAAAGATGTTAAACGAACGGATGAAGGAGTTTACAGATGCATCACACGGACTGATTCCGGTTTGGCAACTGTTACACATGTTCATTTGAGAGTCTCCGGTACGTCGTGACTTTCTAGCAATATTTATTGATATGCCAAGAAAAGAAAAATTAGTAAAGTGAAGAATTTTTCTTCTCAATTTTAAAAGTAAATTTTTGTTGGATAGATTTTGTGCCAATGTTTGGTGGAAACGACTACATGGAACTGAAACCATTAACCGACGAACAGTGGAGTGATATTAATCTGAAAATTTCATTCAAACCCAAATTACCTAATGGTAAGTAAGCGAATGAGGTGCGGTAATTTTATTTTTGGAAAGTAATAAAGCTGCCATAAATGTATATTTCTTGTTGACATCTTTTCTGAGCGTATCTTCTACGAACATAATCCGAATCAGAATTCATGATTTGTTTCTAGAAAAGTTATTTATAGGAGACCAAAATTCAACAATATGTGGTTATATATTATTGAATTTTGGTCTCCTATAATTTTTTTTTTAGAAATTTAGAAAATCTTGAAAAATTTTTCCTATTCCAGGAAACATGAAATTCTCCTTTTAGGTTTGTTGATATATACAGAACGACAACATGAGAATAATCCGGATGAGATAGTCAATTACTTGAGTATAGGATTAAAAAATGGCCATGTAATTTATCGATATAATATCGGCGCTGGACCAGGTTTGTTCATCTCCATCCCAACAAGGATTAGTTTCTCGAAAAAAGCTTCAGATATAAGCAATGAAAAAATATTGTCCGTGTTTTATTTTATAATGATTAGAGCTATCACACTCAAAATATCATTAACTCTTAATTATTGTTATACAGGAGACAACTCTATGTAGTGGACATCAACTTATCGGTTTTTACCCTTCTCCCGAATCATTTGATAAAAATCAAAACATCAGCTCGTCAATTTAATTCTGGGGTGGGTTGGTATTGAATATCAAACTACTTACTGTCATTCTTTTTCTTTTGTTTATTTATCTTTCCATTTAATCAAGCATAAAACTTCTTCGAGGCCAATTCTTTTTACTGCTTTATTATACTTTTTTGACTCCATTTTGTTTTTTATTTTGTGTGTTTTGATGGTGTTATTCCCGATATTTTGGTTTGATAGTTTTTTTTAATATTTTTTGTAATAAAAAGAAGAAATTGATGAAACTTTTTAAACATCAAATTCTATACTATCATTCGTCTATTAGAACTGGAATCAAAATGTAATAATTTTTTAATTTATGAATGGTTTTTTCTACTGTTCTTATAATTTGTTGTTTTTGAAAAGAAAAACGATTGCACTTACATTACTTCCCTTTAGCCGAGTTAATGAGTACATATCCAGTAGTAATGGATGAGTGGCATAAAATTGAAATTGTCAATCAACCAAATCAAGGTTTGCTTATCAGTTTGTTCCCTATTTATTTTTCTTTTAATCTTTACATAACTATCATTCTTAATTAGTGTGTATCATGTATTTGCAATCTTCTTTAATTTTAAATTCGAAATTAATATTTAAAAACGAAATACTTCATTACAGCTACATTACTAGTTGATGAAGATGATGCTATTGAACAAGATAATTATTATTTCAATACTGGTGAAGGTATATCCAATATTGTAAATGTTGCTGGTACCAAAGATAAAACAAAATTGGAACGTACTACCTTTGAACAACCATTTGTCGGTATTATTTTTTTAATGCCCGAATACCTTATTACAATAAAAATTTTATTTTTTGTTTCTTATTAAACAATTCATTCAGTGTCTTATTGAATTTGTTAACAGTTACTTGAAGTTGATAAAATATGTTTAAAACAGTTTTTTTTCCGTTTGTCAGTCCTATGAAATTTAAACAAATGTTCCGTAATATATTTTCATATTCATTCCTTATTAAGCAATATTAATTTTGTTAATTGATAAAATATGAAGGATCGATTAGTTCGTTAACAATATCCGATGAAAAGATCGATTTTGGTGAAGATGCCGTGGCTAAATCACCAAATATACAAAAAGATACGGGATGTTCATTAGGATTGTGCCAACACAATTCCATTTGCATACCAATGAATGTCCACAACGGTTTCATATGTGACTGCTCAAGTGCCAAAGGCTATGAAGGTGAATTCTGCGAGCGGAAAATTCTAAAATGCAGTCATGGTATTCTTCGCCTTCATTTCACCTTTTCTTTTACCTTTTGATACTTAATTTAGAAGGAATTCGATTATTTGTTCATTATAGTCTCTCGAATACCTTTTTAAATTAGATTTAGAAAGATAAATGAATCATTCCCAGAATGATTTCATCAGTAATACAGTGATAGAATGTATTGCTTCAGTTTTACAGATAACAAGAAGTGTCGTATTTTTGATTAGTTATCTAATTACTATGATTATTGTATATTTTGGATAAAGGGATAATTTTAGCAACAAACAATTATTTTTCGTTTTTTTTTTTTCAAAGGTCGGATTTAATCTTAGCATAATTATTAAAATATTCAGACTATAGAAATCTTTAGCTTAAACTGAATAAAAGCTTTCCTTATCACGTTAGTGAATTTTTTCTTGCACAAACATTTATATGAAAATTCCAAAAGTCCTTTTGAAGTTATTTGTGGAGCTGGAACATGCGAGTATCGGTCAGATGGTACTCAATCATGCCGTTGTCCAGTCGGACGATATGGTGACCGATGTCAGTTATTGGAAAGTGAAGATGTCGTCGAATCTGTTCAATTCAATGGCGAAACTTCGTACATTGTATTACCAAAATCAAGAACACTTCGCAATTTCAGCGTTTGTTTATATTCCTTATTAATAAAGCGCTATTTCTCAGCAATTAATAGATATTAAATTTGTTAAATATTATTTATCAGTTTATGAATAAAGTGGTGAGCTAAAATAAAGCATTTTTAATTAAATCCTTGTTATGGATTAGAATGATTGCAACTACATTATCGGTTTTTTTTGCATAAATATTTATCAGCTATAGATTTTATTAGCTAGAACAATTTTAAGTTTAATTACTGACATTGTGAGTTTCCATTCTTGCACAAGATTATCAGCATGTAATTCCTTTTCTTTAATGATATGTTACATTCAGAATCGCTGATTAAATACGAAACCTTTTACTTTCGCTAATTATTATCTCTTAATCATATCTATGCAGAAATGATAATTTAGCTAAAAATGGAAATCGAGCCACGCTCAAGAAACGACCAATTATTAGCATATGAAGCAAGTGATTACAATCCAAAACGATCCAATTATTTAGCGTTTGCAATACGTCGCGGAAAATTTGTTTATTTTTACAGTAGTAACGATGGTTTGTTTATTTTCACTTTGCATGAAATATCTTTCATTTTTTTGAACAAATTAATAAGCGTTAGAAATATTTCTTTGACACTCCGAACCTTTTAATGTTTTTTATTTTTTCTTAGATGATCAGTATTTATTGAATGATTAAGTCTTTCAGCATATTCTGATTGATTAGATTTTTGATATGATTCGAATTATCCAGGTTTTTTTGAGATTGATTAATTTTGGGAAAACATAATAAAGGGAAAAATTGAGTAATTTAATTTCTTTCCAACTCATTAATTTCTATCATTTCTTCAATAACGTAATTCGTTCCATATAATTTCCAGGTAATATAGAAATTGAATCACCAAGTGAAGTGGAAACAAATGTACCGTATCATCTTGATCTAAAACGATTCGGTAATCGAGCAGAAGTGCGGATAAACGGTACGAAAATTCCAAGTCGCGGCAAACTTTCAACATTTTTGCCAGGAACCAACTTATTTATTGGTGGTATACCTTCGGGTATTACGGTCAATCCGAGAATTGGTGGTGCTGCCTCATTTAAAGGATGCATTTCGAAGGTATCATTATACCAACTTCTTCAAATTCGATTATCTCAAGTTTGTTTAAATTTTTGTGGCGATATTTTACTGCGTGCAGTCGAAATGAAGAAGTTTGGCGATATTTTATTGCACGTAGTCGAATGAAGTTAAGTTTAATTCAACACTGTTGTGACTTTTTTATTGATTTGATTAGGGAGAGCTTCAGTTGTAAATTGGTAGAGGAGGGATCTGTTCTGGTGAGATTTGATTTTATTTTGTAAATTGTGAGTTGATCAATGTTCAGTGATTGACGCTGAACTGGCTTGTTTGTTTGGTGGTGGCTAAGGGAATTTCTTGCGGACTATTTGTTGGTATAGTCCGTAATAGTTTCCTTTTGGTTAATAGTGTAAAACACGAGATGATTGTGGTTCCTTCGAATAAGGTTAATACAGATAAAGGATTTGGGTAGTAACTTGTGGTGACGATCAGGTTGACAATTTCGTATCCAAGCTATAGAGCAACACAAAGTGATTGTAGAAATTGAGTGCACTAACATATAAGAGTCGGTTCCCATCAATGAGGAAAGGTTTATATATGGATCCCTTTAGAGCGGTTACTTGAAATGGGGATATCATGAAATAGTGGTTTTTAATGCCTCCCTGGCTGATAATTTATAAAAAGTAGAAAGTATTGGCCTTTGGCCTTGAGATGAATATGGTAAAAATGTAAAAAATGATTACATAATGATCAGTCACTCCTCAAACAGACAAACTGCTATTTCACAATTGCAAAATGTCTCATTTGTATAAACAATATTGAAAGATACCAAATATCAACATTAAATTACTTTAGCATTACAAAATATATTCGGAATCTTTAGATTTTCGACAACAACCTTAATTATTATTTGAATTTTTGCATCACTTCTTTATTTACTTATTTTGAATAATTTTCATTTTGTTGAAGATTGTTCTAAACGGAAAGGATATAAATTTGGCTGAGATATTGAAAAAATCATCATATGATGTAACGGTATGTAAACCGTATACCATTGAAGAAGACGAAGACATTATTCATATACCATTCACTTGGGCTACACCGATATCAACGACACGTACAACAATACGTATTACGACGTCAAAATATCCACGAATTAAATCAATCGAAAAGGATGAAGAGATAAAAGATGAGGTTGAAACAACAGATGTGACGACATTACATCCGAAAGAACGTATAAAAACTACACCGTGCACCGGTGAAGGTATTTTTTTTTCTCCATTATTCATTCCCAATATTTTATTCATATTTACCGATCCAGTAATAATAATTTCAGCTCGTGAAAACAAAAAGAAAATACAACATATCACAATTTATATAAATTATATGTGATTCGTGTAATTTTTGTTAATTTCCAAGAAAGGCACTTTTTTATGAC